ATGATAATAGCCTACAGGGGAAACTAAAATGAAAAATGCTATTTTCCCCAAGCTATGTAATCAACAAGAAAGCATTTGCAAATCACAGAGCAATAGAAAATTTTATTGATCTTCTCGCAAATCCCAAATTCTATATCATGGCTATAAAGTCAGCAGACAGATACAGCTTTCCTTTACCTCAAGAAAAATTTATAAATCCTATCCTGTCCTTTGTAATGAGGAGGTTAATTGATATTTTGTAATTTGCAGACTACCAAAAACTACTCTATCATACTAGCCTACTTACTTATACAGCATCTCAGTAAGTAGAATCTCAGTAAGGAATCACTTCAATAGAACTGTATATTAACTGGAGCAAAGTTGCAGTGTTTAATATGATTCATAAAATTTAAACTGACCAAGTACAGTAAATAGAACTGCCCAAAGAAAAATTTAAAAAAGATGAATCTGCATTATTATTTAAACATAAAATACACACAAACAAGTCTGCATTGGAGTTATTGTAATTATGCTTAGATGAATGCAGTTAGGCCATCAAATGTTTGTTTCAAATAATGATAGTCAAAGTGGTTCACACCAAAATTCCAAAACATATTCCTACGTAAATCTCAGAAATAATGAGAATGTTTCCCAAAATACACTGAACAATGAGAATATCATGGATAAATTGGTATTTGTATTGATACAAAATAAATTCTTTAATAAATTATCTCATGGGGGAATGACTTTGAGTACCGAAGTACAACAACAGGCTACTATAACAGGCTAAAGGCTATCAACAACCATTATAAACCTTTTATTTAAGAAAAACAAAGTTGGTTTTTAGATAAATGATATGATGAAAAATTACGATGCTCTGGAAATATTGGTATAAGTATTAACACAATCGAAACTAAACAACAAATTATAAACAGACCATTTAATTAAGGCATTATCTGACTTTAGACATATACAGTAGCAACTTTGATTAAGAATAGACTATAAATTTCAGAAAGCATAATAGCAACCATTGATAAAATGAACAAAAAGCATAAACAAGATGTAATAATTTAAGAACTACTGCTACCTGGAAACATTTACCATTATTTAAATACGAAGCAACCACAAGAATAATGAGAACAAAATAGAATTAAAAATAAAAGTACATATTGAGTCAATTATCACTTGTGGATAAAAAGAAAAAAGTAAATATCATAACATTTTGTATAAAAGGATAAAATTGATGAGTCGTGCCTTGTGCACAATATTATAGGTCTCGTGCTCGTGTCTAATTTGCCATATAAATTTAAACTATATCATTTAAAGGCAGATAATTATTTCAACTCAACGAGAACCAAATAACAAACCATTGTCATTGCATAACAGATCAAATAAAAATACTTGAACTTGGGAAGCGTTTTATAATGATAATGAAATCCAGAACGTTCATATGTAAATACTAGGACTTGTAGAACAATTATTATGGCTGAAATGTCAGATCAAATAAATTCATATCGTATGTTAGAGATCTTTGTGATAACCCTAAAATAAAAAGGCGTATGTAATAATTGAGAACTACTCATATTGAAACTAAATACCAACTAGACTGAAGTTGACTGGGTCAATAACAAAATGACTGGAGTAAATTCAAATCATCAAATTAAAGCATTGGAATCTTCAATTTTGCTTTCTCAACTGTCTAAGACCAGAAATAGAGAGGATAATTAGATAGCTATCGCCATATCCAATCTGTTATAACACGGGAAGTAACTCAGGGCCATGGCAATATGTTATGCTTGACATGAATAACTAGATGAACTATGGAAAGTTATTTGGTAATAGTTGGCTAAAGTGTTTGTCATTGAATAACTAGTCGCGCTCATGACTAGAAAAAAGCTCTCGAGCCCACCGGAAAAATGTGGTCACTTCAACGATGGTTAAATTCTCAGAAGAGTTTTCATCAGATATGCATACATTACTTGTATATAATCAACCTTTTATTCAATGAAATCATGCAGACGAACAATAATCAAGATCAAATAAAAAAACTGGTAGACGCATAATTCCAAGAACACATCTATTATATATAGAAATGGTTCTCAAACGGTGGGAACTACAGGGGGAGTTTTATTTACCGTACATTTCTTTATTTTGGATATTTGCATTCCAGCCTTGTATTTTCAACAAGTTTTTTGAATAAAATATACCAGTACCTTTGCCTTACTATCTTTTAATTGTAGCTTATTGTTAGCTAGTTATTTTTAGGTGGGGGAACTAAATAAATTCTCAAACTAGGCTTAAAAGTTTTAGAAACACTGATATATAAACAATCAATAATCAAAGAAATTGTTCCAAATATAAAATCTTCAAATTTCGTGAATTGCATAAACCAATTTCAATGTAATAAAAAAAGGACAACAATCCTAGGTGTTTTTGAAAAAACAACGATTAGTGTTATTTCCATCTTGAAGCACACAAAGATAAAACAATCAGTAATCTAATTTCTCAATATTTTTTTTTGTATATATCAAACGAACTTAAATTTCTCTGTTTCGGATATCTCAAATTCATAATTTTCATTTATGAAGGGAATTCACATCACTCCTAAGAGAGAAGCACCTTGTGGGTCAAATGGTACGCACGAGGAGAGGACCATAAATATAAAAATGAGCCATGTAAAACACTAGGCAACAATGGTACGAAACAATGGCATTCTTTAAATCTTTTAAAGTGGAAGGCATATTCAAGCTTAGGTAGAAGAGAAAATGAAAACTGAGCTATTGTAGTGTTAGTTCGTAGATGGGACTGAGAGAATGACATTTATGAAATACTGACCTAAGCATTACATAAAAGTCAAGTCATGTTTTTCAGCATTTTGACAGCTGAAAAGTTGACAATTGGCAACACAACTGGTGATGTCCAAAACTGGTCAGGTGACTGAATGGTTGGAGGTGTTGCAAGCTGAATGGAATGTAGTGAGTTCAGAACTTCTTGTATGAAGTATACATATGCAGTAGATCCAATTATGAAATATACAACACTATATTGATACTCGGAAAAGATATAAAACTGTCCAATTGAATATCGACACATAGGTAAAAGGAGAAATAAGGAAGTGTTTTTCCATGCGAGCTTTATCACTTGAGGATACCAACAGTCGAGCAAGTCAACTTCCGGTGACTTATTGAAAAAAATGTGTAATTTGACTTGATGCTATTACGTGATTGCACGATCTTAAATTTGTAATAAATAAAATTTGAAAAGGTCATGCCAAAATGGGAACATAATTGTTAGAGTGAGTGAGCCTATTCCAATTGAATGCAAGGAACAATGTAAGACTTGGGCTCAATTGCAAAAGTAATGAATGATAAAAAGTAAAAATTCATATTGAAAGAGGTACTCCCGAAGTATGTGAACGAGGTTAGGGTTAGGGCATAATTTAAGATACAAATACTACGGGAAGTTTCGAACTCGTAATAGAACTGAAAAAAGGAAAATTGAAATAAAATATGGCCTAACTCTAATCTGGTACACATACTAGGTTCTGATGTCCGCCATCTTGGTTCACATACTTCTGGAGTACCGAAAAATATTTATAACAGTAGGATATGCAAATGTCATAATGCTCACACAAAATTGCAACATGAACATTAATACAATGGGCCCAGTGGGTAAAGCATTAAATTCCGTCAGTTGGTATCACAGTTCCTTATGTTGGCTCAATGGCTCATTACTTACCAGTGGATGGTGATACAGAAAATTGTTGGGGAGGTGACAATGTGAAAATGTTGTTTATATACATCGAATCGGAATCAAATATTCTTTTTATATTTGTGAAAAAATAAACAATTGCATTTTTTAATATTTCATTAAACGAGAATTAAAAACAAATATGTAAAAATCACAGTATTGGTACAGTCATGACCACAAGGCAGGATTTGCTAGAATTGAATAAATGAAGATCAAAATCAATTACTATTATATCAGCTCAGTTTAAACTGTCACAAAAGCAATATAATAAAAATGTATAAAAATTAGGAAACTTAATAGATATCATTATATTTACTAGTTGTTAAGCAGGGAAAAAATAATAATATTAAAATATTTAGAATTATTAACAACTGACTGAACATTTAAGGGTCTACAATAAATAACTTTCAGAGCTCAAATTCTGATTCAAAATACTCCAAGCATTATGCTGAAAAACAAAAATTGAAACATTCTCAACAAAGCAGACAATTATTTATGAATATTTGATAAGTTGATATAACATTATTTAAACTGTCACAAAATGCAGTTAACTCAACATAAAGTTTCAATTTTCATAGAATGAATCACATAAAATTGATTAGTGTTTAGAAAAATAAAAATGTATTAAAATTTCCACACAAAGCAGATTTAAATTAATTAAACTGTTACAAAAATAGAAGTTCACTCAATGCAAAGTTTTAATTTTTATGGAATTGATTAGTGTTTAGATATGTAATTCACCAAAGCCTTTTTAATTCTGGTTTGTTCGCCTATCATCTATGCATTGAGTAAGAGTTTTCAATATAAAACTCACTGTGAGTGGTAAATTACAATCTGTGATTTTTTATATTTTAGAATTCCCCATGACCGAAATTAAAATGCAAATAAACGATAAAAATCAAAAATTTCAAACCCTCTCAAATTCCCAGAATCTGAGTCCAACAAAACAAAACTTTGAATTTTTAAACCAAATTCAAATTGTTTTAGCCAAAGTTTTATTTGTATGATTCGGAACCAGATGGAACTTTTCATACTCCATGACCATTCAAAAGTATGGTATGTCTGCATGAGTGTTTGTAATCAAATAATCTTTTCTTCGGATTTGAGTTTTGTAAACTTAGAAATGCAGAAATACAACACAAAACTGTCATTCGCGCCTTACACTCCAAACATGCAGTCACTGATATCTAACAATATACTATTATTTGAAAGGTTCGAAATCTTTCCGGTTCGGGAATGACCACAAGTATCATTAAACTCTGGGTGAGGTGGGAATGGGATTTCAACCAGAGATGTTCAACATGAGAAGCCAACATAGTAAGTCTAACACTTTAATATCGCACTGCCCAATAATGATTTTTTTAAGTTCAAATCCCATGCACACCACTTCATCCAGTTTGTAGTAATATAGGCCCACCATGCTTAATCAAAATATTCCAGTTATTTCAAGAAACATTGTTGCTCGGAACATATCAGTTGCTGTTTGTCTGAAGCCTTGTTTGAAGTGGTTCTCACAAAAACACACAAAAATTGAATGAATACTGCTCAAAATGGTGATATTTCCTAAACAATTTAAGGCAGTTTAGGACTTCAGGACCCGGAAGCTTAAAAAGGTAAAAATTTCGCAAGTTAACTTTCTTTAGATATAGTCATCAGTGTAATGCTGTTCAGTGTCTTGTTCAAGGCAATGATAGCCACAAAAATAGTTGAAAATGCTCTGAATTTTGATTTCAATATAATTTTTAAAAACGCATTTTTTATGTCTTCAGGACAAAATTGGACAATCTAAGAATTGCTTTGGTATGGTGAATATTCTGCTGTTATCACTGATGATTGGCAGAGAGTGAGCATGTTTTTACTTATATCAGGATCTGTCATTACAAAATTAGGCCGATATAAAAATTGCACGAATACAATTCTGATTAATAAATTTTATCAGAATATTTATAGTTTTATTGCTTCATCATTTATAATATTTGATTAAATCATCATTAGCATAACAGCTGCAATGGAATTATTGTTTCGGTCTTTGATGCAGTTTTAATGAAGGCAAGTTCAATATCAAAGTTCACTATCCTATGCAGGTGCAATCAGTGTTGCAGGAAATCTCTCAAGTTTGCTCTCCAGAATTTCTGTGAAAAAGAAAAAATTATTATGAGAGTCAATAGAATGAAGCAAAAATTTGTCAATCTGTACATTATGATAGTGCAGCTCATTCAAATATGTTGTTTTTGCTATAATTATTATATCTATCCAAGCTACCAATTTTCCAAACTACCAAACTTATTTCTTGTCACTGGTAAAATTACAGTATCTCTGAAAAATATTAGTCATTCACATATCAGTTGATGATTATACAGAGCCTTGTTCGAAGGTAAAACATAAAAAAAAACGTGGATTGAAAAATTGGTGATTTTATTTTTTCAACTCACTTTATGACTTTATCCTACACAATTGTACTACAATAGTGAAATGACCAAGAAGTTACTAGAAATCAAAAAAACTGGGTGGAATTGAAAGTGGGGGCTGGATTTATATTATCAATATAACCTGCACAGCACACGGAGTGTCTCATTAAAGATGACGCTTTCGAATTTGCACTTTAAAACCTTTGAAAACCATGTGATTGTGATATCATATATGACAGTGGAGCACTTTATGATGTCTTTGGAGCTGGGCTTTCCAAATCGAATATTAGAATTGAATTGTAAATTGTTGAAACTTCATGTAAACAAGCAACCCTTTATCTACCTCGATACCAAAAGCAAGTTCATTACTCAATTCAGTTTCAAGTGATAATTATCTAAATGTTATATCAGGAATTTAAGACTATTTATATGGATGCATGTTGGGAGAGTGAACTCAGCAATATTTTTCCAGAGTGTCAAATTAATACAATTATCTCACCGGTATTGATACATCAAACACAAATCCTTTTACCTCCAATGCTTCTATCAGTTTCATTGTATGGTTCGGATCAGGATAACCATTGCTGAAGAAGAATAAATTCATGAGCTATGTTTGAACATGCTCATAGACAAAATAATAGAAGTATGGAAAGTTTTTCGTTAAACAATGCTAGTTCATGATCTTAGAGTTTTAAAGTGCAGAACTTGGTTCTATGGAATTATAGTGCAATACGCAGGGTAAACAAAATTTCAAAATTTGTTTTATTCTTCCTTATCTGCCAATATTTTTTGAAATACAGTAAATACTCATCAACCACAAAACACGCAAAGTACTTACTTCTCAGGTCCTTCAGTATTATTAGTCTTATGAGGAATATCATCGCTCCAAACAAGATTTCCTCTTCTATTACCAACTTCTTGAATCTTGAAAATCGATCCTGCAATGAATGCTTGATTGAGTAAGTTGAGACATATCCATCCATCATTAGTATTTGGCAAATATTCAGCAAAATCTTGTGCCTCATATGAAATTCCCTAAAGAAAAAAACATAACTAATCATCTCCCATACCTTGAAATCGGTCAAAACTGATGTAAATATGAGAATATCTATGAACATTCACCAGAAGTCAAAAGAAAATTTCATCAAAATACTTGGTATTTTCATTTTCAAAGTATTATTTCAATTTGAAAACTCCATACCTCAATCATACATTGAAATCAGGACCTATCCATGGGGAATTTTGCTAAATATTTAGCTATGCCATGATTTTATTGCACCATTAGGCCTAAATCAAAGTGAAAATAGAAGAACTAAATTACAAGCATCTTAAATTCAATTAAATAATTTAATTTTATTCAGATTTCAACAAGCTTCACATGACTATGTTAGGATTCTACTGCATATATAAATACTTTATTTTATCTTTGTCTCAAAAACAAACTTTTCAAAGCATTGATTTCCATCAGAACTGAATTCTATGACCATACCCAGTCTAAATTAGGTATAGATGGACAAAGCACGAACCAGAGTCAACCCATATAAGCCTGTGAAATGGCCTAACGGTTAAAGTGTTAGGCTGAACTATGCTGACATACATATTGAACATCTCGGTTCAAATCCCCATTCCAAGAGTGAAATAAATTGAGTAGGAAATGCAAAACTAGAGAATCATACTATATAGGCTTGAAAATCATAAATTATAAGTTTTTCTTAAAAAATCATTAGATATCAGTGGTTGCTTGTATAGGGACCAAAGAATTATAGAATATCAAATCATTAGGTTATGGATATCCCTAAATATTGTTTTCAACAAATTGTGATTCTTCAGTTATTACACTGGTATTTAATTAAGGAATGGTTATTCAATCAAGTGAAGTTCTAATGTGCAGTGGGAATTTATATTATGCATAAGAATCTTCTTGAATAAGACTGTTGAATATAGAAAATCCATAATTTATTTTCCCACCAACAATTAAATTTGTTTCATAACTCACCTTCAGACTTCCAGCAGGAAATGAGTAGGTGATGACAATAGCACCCATTCTTTCATATCCTGGCAGTAATTCTTGCAAGAAATCCCATGACAGCTTCCCATCAGGCGGTTGTTGATTGATAATTCTTAGACCAGAAGTACTTTGATTTGAAGAGTGAGATTCTGCACCTGGATTAATAAAACCAAAACTTGTAGCAAAATCAATGTTTCATTTTTTTTTAAGCAAAAATGCTCGTGATTAAGAGGTTCGGTAATATTAAAAAGGTACCATAATATCTACAAATTATATGTATTCGTAAAATAAAAATGAAAGTTAATTGAGTTATTAAGTGGTTATTTGAGTTTTGGGCCATGCCATGGCCTTGTGGTTGAAGTGCTAGACTTAACTGTAGGCATTACAGATTACACATCTCAGGTTTAAACTCTATGCCACCCCTCATACCAAGTGTGTAATAAGTAGACAGGCAATGCCTAACAGGAAAAAACTTCGTTCTCCAGAATAAATTACCTTTCCACATATCAATCGTTTCATGTAAAAATATCTCTGATATGTTGAGTTTATGGAAAAACAACACTGACATGGGCAACTTCAAATATGCTGAATCATGAAATTACTCAGTAACTGAGACCTCGATCGGAGACATCAGATAGTAAAAATATTATAAAATTTACTTCATTTGATAGTTTTATAATTTATTCATACATGTGGCTTTTGCAACGCCAAGGCTTGAAATTTAGTTCAATTCCGTTTGCACCTAGTAATAGACATGAATACAAAATGCTTTTCAGTATTATCAAAATTTTCGAATAATGAGCTGATGCAGCAGATATCCGAGGTCAATTATTAGCCCTAAAATGAGAGTTTCAATGAGAGATATTTCAGATTCACATTGTAAGACCGCCGTTTCATACAAACTGACAGGGAAAGTACGGTATCTTTGTTTTTTAGTATTCAAAGTATAATAAACCTTCATTAGGTAGTCTGGAACTGACAGTGCCATAACCCGATGCACATCCAACGGCAGAAGATCCTTCCTCGTCATCCTCTGAAGATTTTGAATCTGGTAAAGTCAAGGGATTATCTGCATTTGGTTTTTCTTCATCTTTTGAAGATGCTCTATATATGAATTCATCCACTACTAGATCATAACACTTGTCTGACTTTCTTACTAAAGGTTCGAGTCGAACTGTCTCTTTTAGAAACTTGAGAGATAAATCTTTGACTTTAATGAAACTAAACAAGTCTTGGAAGATTTTTCTTCTGTTTTTGACATCGTATTTCACCCATTTCATCATCGACTCATATTTGACAGCCTCCGAAGTATACTTTGTGACTGAAGATTTGAAAAGCCTTAGTATGTCATCCTTGCTGATATCCAGAAATTCATTTTTCTTACTAATTTTTTCAAAATTTGTCTCCAAAAATCCGGTAATGGTATCCTTAACTGCCGTTTGTTCAGGAACTAGATTGGTTTCAAAAAGATTCTTCAATGTAAAGCAGTTGTCAATATCAAGGTTTTTCTCGAGTTTTTTAGCATCAGAAAATAATGCAGTAATTACCGATTTCTTAGCTGTTTTATTGTTTTCAACAATGGGTTCTTTAAGGACGGTTTCCAGAAGAAATTTGAAGGGAATTTGATCGATGCATACAAGTTCAGAAATATCTACGTTATTTTTTCCATTTGCCCATGCCACCACGGCTTTCCATGATGTTTGGCAAGTCTCATTTCTCATGTAACGCAAGAGATCTGATTTGGTGATGAATGGAAACATTTTGGAAGAAATAACAGATTGGAAATTATCAATCACGACCTGTTCGGCTTGTTGTTTTATATCATGGCGATCATACATTTGAGCCAAGTTGATTACAGAGAGACAATTTATAGGAGAAATCTCAATTTTCAAGAATTGAAAACAAAGATTTGTTAATTCTTTCATTTGTAAAAGATGGGAAGCATGAAGGATATGCTGAATGTTTTTTATTTTCAAATCTGCTTTTCCTTTATACATGAACTCTACGCATTGTGCGATCCCATCCTGATCGACATCCTTCATATTAACGTGACCATCATGAACTTCCTTCAAGTTGCTTGAAAACATTGCTTCAAAGTATTCTGAAGAGGCTGCCAAGACAGTACGATGCACTCGGAATGATTTCTCACCAACGTTGATGTTGAAATCGCAAAGAAATCCTTTCTCTTTGAACCTGTCATATGATGTCATGAGACGGTCTGACTGTTTTGCTCTAGCCTGGTCTATTACTTGTGAATTCATCTTCGTACACTCACTAAACTGAGATATGAAAATTATAATTAGCGAGCGTGAACTGCAAACATTAATGTATCTATCTATTAGAAGTTAGCTTTGACCTTACCAGTTCAGCTCACAAACAACCATAAATGAAACATAGCTCAACAAACTAGACCATAGAACTGTGAAATATCATGTTTGTATTGTCATTATGTATTGATAAGGGGTCTGAACACTTTAAAAATTTGAAATCTCAGCTGAATCAATGCAAACAAACCACTCTTTGTATAAGGCCACTTAATAAAAATTCTTGTTTACTATCTTCTTGTGACACGCATAACTGTTTGTTTTGTCTTTTGTAATGGACTTTACTTTTAACAAAATGTAGTTTTTGTAACATGCAAAATTAAGTTTTAAAATGAAAGAAGAATTCTGATCTTGAATTTAATTTTCAAGAAAATATCCAAAAGTTGTATTTATTATTTAATTATTTTTGATTTATCATGAGAATCATCATTTTGAAAAGAATACTGAACTACTCGCTGCCGTAGGTTGGTCGTCTTTCTCCACCATCAAGTGCATCTGAAATAACCGACTGGATAACTAATCCCATATCTGACATGGACCTGCTAACTGTACTGCTGTACAAGGGGCCGTGGTTGGCTATATGATTAGGCTGTCTTATCGGCTTTTCTTTCGCCCAGGAAAAATTTGTCAATCCTATTCTATCTCATATAATAAAGTTAATTGAATTTTGTTATCTGAAGACTACTAAAAGCTACTCTATCACGCTAGCCTACTTAATTATACAGCATCTCAGTAAGGAATCACTTCAACAAAACAGTATATTTATATGGAGCAAAATAGCAGTGCTTAAAGCGAATCATAAATTTCAACTGGCTAAGTACAGTAAATAAAACTGTCCAGAGAAAACTTAAATATAAGATAAATCTGCATTATTAAATAAGTATAACATACACCCAAACAAATCTGCATTGGTATTTGTTCTTAGGTAAATGGGACAGCAACTGTTTGTTTCAATTAATGATAGTCAAAGTGGTTCACATTAAGGTGCTAAAACATATTCCTATATAAATCTCTGATTCAGGACGAATAATATTGTTCCACAAATACACTGAATAAAGAGAACCCCATGGATAAATTGTTACTGGTATAATACAGAAATTCTCTAATAATTATCTCATATAGACTTAACCTTGAGTGATGGAGTACAGCAACTATAGAAAAAAGGCTATCAGTAACCATTATAAACCTTTAATTTAAAAATAATAAAGTTGTATTTGTCTATTGGTGAATAGGTTCTGCACTTTTAAAACACAAAATCTTAATATTGAAGGTATGATGGCCAAGCAGTAAACTTGTTTGACATGAGGGTTCAAAAACCATTGTTCAAGGATAACTAAGGATATCTATTAAAACAGAAACTTATGAAACAAAAAAACTGACTAATCGAGGCATTATCTGATTTAAAGCATATACAGCAGCAATCCTATAGATAAAAATATCAGTAAATTTGAGGATTTCATTATTCGCTGTTTAAGATGGAAATAGGCTAATTTAACTAACTAGTAACTTATAATTAATGTATTGCTTTGTCTGCCTGCACTGAAGAACAAAGAGCAGACTATTATTTCATGACCATTCTTCTGTATCACTCGAACATCATCCGATATACACTATGGATACTTCAAAACGACTTAATCCTGAATCTCCAAGTACATCACAGGATGAAGACAGTACTCTTATGGCAGTTATAACCAGCACAATCCTTCGCCATGTTCTTATACAATTAACTTCGATGATTGACGAATGTTTGGTCACCAAACAATCACCATCTAGTCCATCAGATTCTTCTCATGTCACCATCAGCAGTTTCCAACGTATTTTAAATTCATCTATGAAAGAAATGATAACCGAACTTGGTACGATAGCCTCCAGACTGAACTTAAAGACAGTCAGAAATTTTTATCTGACAAATTTGATTCCATCAACAACACTCCTAATTCCACTCAAGATTTAGTTAAAAAACAACAAAAAAAAATTCAGAACCTAGAAGAACTTGTAGAAGAGCTTGAGGATGAATGTGACCACCTTGATGAGCGAGTAGAAGACCAAGAAAGAAGATCGCGATTAGAATGCCTCGAGTTTCATGGAATTACATGTAAAAAAAGCTTATTGGACACGTAGTGGACATAACGATCGTTTCAATATTATGTTGTTCTTGTTGTTTGACACAGAATAACACACCTAGTGGAAATATTAAAAAAAACGCTTTTCTCTTCGAATACTGGACCAATTGCTTTGAAATTTTCAGTGGTTGAAGATAAAATTTTTCCCCAGAAGGCTATTACTCTTATTCATTTTAAATATTTCTGTTAGCTCTGTGAGATTTGTTTTTGTTTGCTATGACGTCATTAAACGTTCTCTGGACATCGGACGCCATTTTGTGTCCTACTGTACTGCTTCGCTTGGTGTGAATATATTTGTAGACTGTGATCTGACGGTACGGTAAACCGTACTGTACTGCGAACAAACGTGTCCATATATTTGGGCGTAGCTCTCTTGTTTAAAGTAATAATGAAAACACTGACTTACTTGTATGCAATCTGTCTAATCTGATTGGAGTAAAATTATCAACTTCAGATATCTACAACTCTCACAGATTATCTAACAACAACAAAGATAAACCATCAACCATAAATATCATTATATATAACCATAAATATATATTTTTGCCAATAAACAACCTATTCTGTGATTTATAAAAAAATAACTTGTGTTTTATTTCAAGGTGCTCAACGCGTCAAAAGTTATTTTCCATCATGAACCATCCTAAGTGATTAAAGAGTCTTGCTGCACACTAACACAAATATATTTCTGTAACGTTTCGTCCGACCAACGACTAACATACCATGGTGCGCAACTAAAGCCTTGACCAATGAGGAGTGTCTGACGCGATATGCTCCATTGCGGCAACTTATTTCGTTAACGCCCACTCGAGATCCCAGCGTTTTCACCATATCTGTTGGTCGCATCGGACTCACTCACGGGCTGTAGTTATTATATAATCGATGACTATGGCTAACAAAGGTAATTCTATCATTTCTATACGTTAGATATATGTTATAAGTGTGTTTCCCTTAGCGGGTGACTATTCAGGGAAGTACTTTGTGTTGATGTATGACAGACAGAGCTGCCGTCCTGCCGAGTTTAAATCCCTGAATCATATCCTGAATTTGATGATACATTCAGACATTACCTGTCTGCCTGTACTGTACTAGACTCATTCATGTTAGAGGATCATAAACTGACAGTATTCATAGATCTTGACAAGGCAATGAAAGAAAAGTTTACCTTGAATGAGCAAAAGTAAGACAGCTAGGCCTATTGAAAAGAGGGCAAAAAGTGTTAGGAGAGGTTTGATGGAGGACCACCATTAGACCATGCATTCAATTATCTTATCATCAATATATTTTCTGGATTTTATTCTATAGATAACACATACTTAAATGTGATATTTTCATTACAATATTTCTGCCAATAAACAACCTATTCTGTGATTTATAAAAAAATAAATTGTGTTTTATTTCAAGGTGCTCAACGCGTCAAAAGTTATTTTCCATCATGGCATCTTTGGCTCAAAATATTCACAAACAAGGTAATATTTACATAATTATAGACTCCTACATAAATTCCATGATTACTAATACAACTTCTACAACTCAAAATAAACATGAGCAGATTTTTTTAAACACCATGGGATAAATCTGTCAAAACAATTATGAATTTTTTCATTTCTAGGCGAAGATATTAGTGTGGAGAAAATTGTATCGCAAGATCATTGCAGCCACTGTCCCTATTTTACCAAATGTGGTCAAATACTTACAATTGTTGAAGAAAAGTCCCAAGAGATCAAATGTTATCTTTCAGCTGTGATGCAGTTCGCGTAATCCCTACACTGGAACAGAGTATTCCAGGTTTACTATACCCTCCAGTATTTCGGGAAATTAATTGATAAATTAACAGCCAAAGAAATGGATAAAACGAAAGGGGCGGTGCTAATATTTGTCTGGATTTGAGTATGTTTAGATACCATAATTTGACGGACCATATGACTTATTGGCAAAAATTGCTTAATTGGGTCTTTATTCATACATAAGGCTATAAAACGCAACTGTTTTCTAAGCAATATTGTTTTGAATGTAGGCAATAAAACACTACCTGATTCATACATTGTGCGCACCAGCTTAACAGGCGCTTGATCGATTTTATTTTCAAGTATTGACACCGTTTGATTGATATTCATGGTAATCAATAATGCGATATCTTAATATTACACCCCTGTTCCCTATATTTTCCAGATTTACTAGATTCAAGTTCTATCATATTTAATGATGATGAGGTCCAAATACATTGCTGGGTTTATTTTACAAAAAATGCAAAAATGATGCCAAGACCCGGAAGATTGCGAAAGAATCACGAACCGGACTGTTTGATAACTGACTCTATGATTGCAGTAATGCAGGGAACATAATATGGACGCTTAACCGTACGATTGCCCAGTGTCCTTGAACTATGTAAGCTGCTCGAAATTGAATTTAGATTAAACTATGCTCATGAAGGTGTTATAGCCACAGTTTTTGAAAATTTTAATATAGAATCATTTGGTATTGCCAAAAACGATACTAGCATGGTGGACATCTTGGAAAACTTATGTCGCTTTTCCTGAAAATATGTTGCCATCAAACAGCCAGAATCGTCAATAACGCCTTTTGAAAAATAACCAGAATTTATCCCTACGAAAAATGCTTAAAAAATAAATGTAGATGAAGAGCATGATCTCTTTTCACTTTATTTTGCAAGGTAGTGCGTTTAGATGTGATTCCAGTTTTATTTTTATCACTTTAGCAGTAATTGAACAAAGTAATCTATTTTTCATAACAAAATGTTCACTGCATGGAATATAGCAGTGGCGGCGCGTGGTCATTTTGACAACCGGGGCAAGCTACTGCGGGACGAAGTCACCCCCATCTACGGGGACAGGATGAGCGCTGTAAGTTCTCCCATCATTTTATGAATATAAAAACCATTCCATCGGTAACAACCAATCGGCAAAAGCGACAATTTTTAACGATAAGAAAGTGTCTTTAAAACCGGTCCAAGTCAAGGGATTAATAAATATAGACATAGTTTATTTTGAAACCTCTTTCAAAAGGAAAGGCAATATTTACCCAGATAAATACAATGACATATTAACAGAAACTTCGGGAAAGCAGACAAAACCTAAAATAAGGTTTAAAACGTTACTATGAAGAAAGGAAAGTTAATGCAAAGATAAGGACATGCGTCGCTCACTCATAGATATATATGCTGCTAGACTTCTACTGCTTGAACTTATATGCAACACGCCGCGGTTTCTTGGAAGCAAAATGCTCAATAACGCGCTGATTAAAGTCATGCATCCCAGAAATAACGTCTCTGTGAATGGATAAAACAGCCAAGGAATTTAATCTATCTTGCTTCATTGTGTTTCTGAGATACGTTTTAATACGCTTCAGTGTGCTGAATGTTCGCTCTGCGTCGGCGGAAGAAATAGGCGTTGTCAAAATGATGTCCAGAAATTTTGCAGACGCCGCAAAGGTAGTTACTAGAGTGTTATCTATGAGGAACCCATAGAGCGCGCAAGTTGATGAGATGTTCAAAAAAATTTGATTGGTGTATATACATCGCAATTCATTTTCCAATTTACCCACGTTTATCATGAGGTAAAATTTGGAGACAGTAGCCAACAAATGGATGGGAAATTGACGTGCAAATTTTGAAAAATTTTTGGGGTTCATCAAAGAGAACGCGGCAAGGTGTTCAGTGCGCAGACGATCGCCTATTTGATTCACCAGAATGTCACAGCATTCCTTTGCAGACAAAATCGCTGCGTTGTTTGCCCGCGGCGTAAAGAAGCACTACATGTGTCGTCGTATTTTATTGTTTCCCGGATACGAGATACAGCATCGCAGAAGTCTGAAATACACGAATGCACAGACGCTCCATCCATTAGCCTTGACTGCAATGCGCCGTATAATACATCCACGTGATAGAATATTGTGGAGAAAAAATGAAAACTCACCATCTTCTAGCAGACGCTTTAGACCTGCCGCCTCCCTCACAGAGCGTTCGTCCCAAACCGGAGAGCTCTGAATGCCAGCGAAACACTCAATGAGCTCAGACCTAATTTCGGACACGCCCTGCACCACGCGTGATTGGAAGTTCCAACGTGTTGGTGCACAAGCTGGGAGACAGCGGCTACAAATCTGGCGAAGGAGGTCAGAGCGCTTCGGCGAAACGGAAAAAAATGAAGAAAACCCCGAAACATTTGCGAAAAATATACGGACGAGAGGGGTATCAAAACACATATTTTTAATAACGAGGTTATTTTGGTGTGCATTACAATGTAAAAAATGCGCATGAGGAAAATCTTCTTTTATATAAACTTGAACACCATGTTTCGACCCACTTATGACTGCCGCGCCGTCATAAGTTTGAGCTATCAATTCTGACTTCGCGTTGTAAGGCTGTAACACTTCTTTCAGTACAGCCGATATCCCGCAAGCCGTGCGATCAACGATTGGTACAAGCTGTGAAATCTCTCGGTAGGTTTATCATCTTTCACAAACCGAAAAATCACAGCCAGTTAGGAAACGCACGTGATGTCAGTTGTCTCGTCAGACTGAATCGAAAGGAACTGGCAATTCTCAATTTCCAGAGCCAAATGTTGTAAATAAATTTTATACATTGAGTCGAGCAAATCATTTTGGATATCCTTAGATGTCCCTTTCGAAACAGTTGCGGCATCAAGATGATCTCTCAATACTGTATCTAGCGATGCGGTGTATTCCACCATATTCAAAAATACCCCTCTATTAGAAGAGCCAGCCCGTTCATCGTGCCCACGGAGGGACAGCTCGTGACAACCAATGAACTTCAAAACATCTATCAATCGACCGAGAACATGGCGGTTTTTCTCGACGTTTTGGTTGTGCCGACGAATAGAAACCGCGCGTCCTTCATCCAACCGTGCTGCAATATTAACATTTCCGAATGTTCGGTATTTTACTGCATTGTCCAGATGCTCCATAGAAGATTGATGATCCCTGGCACGCTCGGA